TCCTCCACCCTTTGCACGGTTCTCACTGTAGCCCCGTAACCCGTACCGATACACGCGTGCAAACGAACCTTCTGTGTACGAACAGAGACATAATATCGACTTTTCTCGGTCGAACGTGTTGTCTCTCTACAGGCGCGAGCACGTGCACGTCCAAGAGTTCGGTTCGACGAGCCTCGAACCTGCAGCCCCCGACGATGGACAGAGAGAGGAGTCTCTATCGGCCACCCAGGAACGCGTTGTGCTCCACGGTAGTTGTTCGGTTAAGGTTTTCCGGGGGGTTGGAATTAGTTCCATCACACACACGTAACACGCGCGTCGCCCTCTCACCTTTTGTGCCGTACCGCCGTTCGACGCCGTTTTATTCGTCGTGCAAGATTTTACGCCTATCTCCGGAATCGTCGTCCGACGATCCTTTCGATTGGCGCCAACCACCGCCCCGCGGTATTCCGTATTTTCACGCGTATTTATATCGGATATCTCGGTTGCTCCTCGACCTTCTTCGACGGTAGAATTTTCGCTCGTCGTTAGTTTCGTTCAGACGCGAACAGGACGGGTACAATTATCGCGAGCACGAGCCGACGCGTAACTATATGATTAAGTAATATCCGTTATCTTGTCCGCGGAATGGGAGAGTAATTAGCAGCGGGAAAAATTTGAATTTCACGACGATCTTTTCGCCCCGCGACGCAGCACGCCTATACGCGCGTTTAATGCCCACGTGCACTGCTTCCGTGAGAAAAGAGACGGCGATTGTTTTACTTTTTCGATCGAACCGACCGAATACGCGATTATCCGCGTCCTCATCGGGCCGTAATAATTGGCCGAGCACAAGCTAGGTCGGTCGGTACGTTTTCTTCAAGGTTAGTCGAAAGCCCTGACGCTGAGTGGGTCGGTGAGCTGAAAAATCGATACGTACGAAAGTGAGAGTCTCAGCCGTTTCACCCTCCTTTTCCTTCTTCACGTTCCGCGTCCTCTTCTTACTTGCCATTTGGTTCATTCATGTTGCGTCGCGCCCAGTGCCGTGGCTGCGTCCAATTTCGCGATTCTTCACCCCTTGAAATTCGATTAACGTGGACGCGAGTATATCCGCGAAAAGAGGAACCGTAGGAATATACCGACGTAATGAACGCGAAATGAAATTACTACGGGCTGTTTCACATTGCCAATTTTGCGGCGAATTATGTTCGAAGAGAGACGCACAGACGAATCGAAGGCGCATTTGGTATTTAGATAGGGTACGGGTGGAGTTTGTTTTTGATTCGCGATGCCTTTCATGTTGCGCCGTCTCCCTCGCAAGGGCCGAGGACGAGGATAAATTCGACGTGGAGATGTCGAACGAAAGAAAGAAAGAGAAAATGTCAACAGGGGCATCCGCGCATATGCGATCTTTGCCGATGACGCTCTTGGCGAGAACATCGTCGAGCCTCTGGGATATGGTAGACTCGCGTTAATTTATAGATCACCGTGTATCGTCGCGAATCGAACGGCCCCTCGTTGCGAGTAAATTTCTAACTATTGCGCGCGATAAACTTTTCGCTATCGAACTTTTTTCAACGATATCATCGCTGTTCGCTCTCTTTATTTCGCGTAATTAGTTTCTTTATTTTACGTAATTAGCGATCGTATCGTATTTACAAACGCAAAACAAAACCGAAACTGAACTTACAGATAATCGCCATAACACGATATAATGGCGATTTTCGCGTAACTAGCCATCAGCGATCCTGGTATTTTTAATTCCTCTTCGTAGAAACTATCATGGAAATTGTAACGCGTTGGCGTTCCATTCGTGACGAATTTCTAACATTTTATTCTTTTACGTTGTATCGATGTTTTTTATATTGTAACGATATTTTCTCGACTTTTACGAAATGTTTACTTAGATGCGGTAAAAAAGTTCGAAGAAGCTGTTGCAACGAACCGGCCTTGCAATTTCGATTGGTAACCGTCCCAGTACGTTCGTGTTGACTCGCCGTATGCTCTTTCCTCGTCGAGTTGATTTTTGTTTAGCAGGCACCGTCCTCTTTGACGATCTCAAGCCGATACCGAGAAATTCTTGACCCAAATGCTGCGTTATACTTACATACGTTGTGCACGACCAACCATATATTCTCGTTTCAAGAAATTATTGACGATCGATGATTTTCCTGCTTTTTGCATTTTTTTTTTTAACTAGAAAAACAACCGTTTAACTTTAACGATCGATTTGCTTCTCGCTTTTAAATGTACTAGCCTGCGAACTAGGTCTCGTTTTTTATTCAGGAACTCCTTGCTCGCACGAGTTAGTAAAATTACATCGATTCCCAAGCGTTTTAACCGCGATAATTTTAATACGAGCGTAACTGAAAAACAAGTTTCTCTCTCCTTCTTGCCTACACGAATCGTACACGCGCCATCCTCACGATCGACCCTTAACGTGACGAGACCAGGTGTGTAACGTTTGCTAATTGACGTTTCTGAATTTCTTTTTTTACAGCGGTGCCGGATCCAAGGTTATCGTAAACAACTTGCCAGCTCAGATCAGAATAGAAGATATAGAGGCCCTGTTCTCGAACTGCGGTCAAGTGCAGTCTGTGGAGAAATTGTCCTCGCGCGATCCTAATTTACAAACCGTCCTCATCAGCTATGAGACGCAAGAACAAGCACAGCAGTAAGTTTCGACATTGTTTGCCGCGGAGATAAACCCACGTATCATCCGGTCCATAGGCATTTTTCATAGTCGACATGCTTAATCGTAATTGTTGCGGTCTGACGATCGTCTTTTCGCCGTTTTACAGGGCTGTGAACCAGTTAAATGGTCACGAGTACGAGGGTAGCCCGCTAAAAGTGGAAATGTCTACGGTGGAGAACCGACGTAGAGGCCGCAGCCAGCGCAGCGGCGTAGCTTATTCCGGGGTTTCGGGCTCCGGACGGCAGGCAGACTTCCCGCTCCGTATTCTTGTACAATCAGAGATGGTGGGAGCCATAATCGGTCGCCAGGGCTCTACCATACGTCAGATCACTCAGATGACGCGCGCGCGAGTCGATGTTCACCGTAAGGACAGCCTCGGTGCTGCTGAAAAAGCTATTACCATCTACGGTAACCCAGAGAATTGTACGAATGCTTGCAAGAAAATTATGGAGGTGACGCAGCAAGAGGCTTACGGTTTGAGTAAAGGGTAAGAAGCTTGAAACGTTATCCGCTTTCGAAATTATTTTGCAAACGATGTTACGTATGAAATTTGCTATACGCGTTCGTATAATGGATGCATGTGTGTTTATTAACGCGCCGTAACCGTTTGTCAACAGCGAGATCTCATTGAGGATTCTTGCGCACAACAATTTGATTGGACGAATTATCGGAAAGGGTGGTACCACCATTAAGAAAATCATGCAGGATACAGATACGAAGATCACCGTAAGCAGTATCAATGACATCAACAACTTCAATCTCGAGCGCATTATCACGGTGAAAGGCAGCATCGATAACATGAGCAAAGCTGAATCTATGATTTCCAGCAAATTACGCCAAAGCTACGAAAATGACTTGCAAGCAATGGCTGTAAGTGTTAGGAGTTACGCGAAGTCATAGCGAACGAATCGTTTCAAATATTATGCCAAGTTACGATAGAGCTTGTGTAATAACGAAATCACGTGATCGTTACAGCCTCAAAGCTTGATGTTTCCTGGTTTACATCCAATGGCTATGATGTCCACTGCTGGTATGGGATACAGCTCACGTGGCCCGGGCTTGTATGGCACCGGACCAGCCCCATATCCTTATCAAACCAGTTTGCCTACGCAGCAAGGTATTCCGATAGGCGATACGCAAGAAACTGCGTTCCTCTACATTCCGAATACGAGTGTAGGGGCAATCATAGGAAGCAAGGGTTCACACATCAGAAACATTATCAGATTCTCTGGCGCCAGTGTGAAAATCGCGCCAATCGAGCAGGACAAGCCTGTAGAACAACAAAATGACAGAAAAGTAACTATCGTCGGATCACCAGAATCACAGTGGAAAGTAAGTTTTGCGCAGATGATACGTTTAATTCCTTATCGAGTAAAATCTAATGATTTTTAACGCTAAAAGTCGAGGCTCGGGCTTAAAGAGTGGAAAAGCGCACGTTACTGGCAGATGAAAGATCTAGAAATCGACGTATCGCTAAAATTTCGATTGTCATAACGTTTTGAATTATGTAAAGATAATGATAGATGTAAATTTTATAATATATGTATAAGAAAAATATATATATGTATGATATTCCACGTAAAGAAAAGCACAAGTTTTACATAGATTTAACGAATGTAAAGTAGGAACTAAATAATCGGTTAGATAGCGTGTAGTTACTTCGTGGCTTAGTAAGTAACAGGTTGGTTTGCAAACGTCAGGGTTCCGTGTTCGAATCCCAATATCTTGACAATTGTTTCTAACTGGTTTTTATCGTCGATAAACGTGTAGAAACGCTAGTGCTCGATCAACCTGGTCTCGTTTGAGAAGATGCGGTTTTTCTATGCATCGTCTTGATAGAACAGGGAAATTAAAATATGAAGGGTTTACCCGTACCAATGACATGTTGCATTATGCATGTACAGTTGGTCCCGTTACAACCTTCGACATTCCTTTTTTTCTGTTCAAGTAAATGTTATTCGTATGGTTCTCCTGTAACGATTATACGACACCAATGATATTCGCTTTTAGGCTCAATACTTAATTTTCGAGAAAATGCGCGAGGAAGGATTCGTGGGCGGAACCGAGGACGTCCGATTGACAATCGAGATTCTCGTACCAAGTACTCAAGTTGGCCGAATCATTGGCAAAGGTGGACAAAACGTTAGAGAATTGCAACGTGTAACCGGAAGTATCATAAAGTTATCGGAACAACAATCCACATCTCCTTCTGCCGATGAAGAAGCAACCGTCCAAATAATTGGCCCTTTCTTCTCTGTTCAGGTATTACGCGCGTTACCGTTAAAAATACTTCAACGTTTTACGATCGTTAAAACCCGACAAACAAAATATATCGATTTATATTTTTGCTTGTTCTCTGATTCACAGTCGGCACAGAGAAGAATTCGCGCTATGGTTCTACAGTCATCTGGTGCACCTGGAGCAGGTGTCGCAGGCTCACGCGCTGGTCGTGGTAGCAGCCAAGAAGGTGGTTCTCGTACTCGAAGAGATGGCAGTGCCACGTCCCAACAAGGTGGCACAGCGTCGCAGCACTCGGCTCAACAACAATCTAGTACTTCGCCTTCTAATCAACAGCAATCACAAAATCAGTAACGTCACTGAAACTTACATGACGCCGACCAACGCCTCAGAAAATCCGTTTGAATCGCCGGGGTGGCCTTCGTCGCTTTGACATTCTCTCGTAAAAGGCTACGTGCGACCTCCTTCTCGCGGGCTATGTATCCTTCGATGTGCATGATACGAACGGTACTTCGCGAAAGCTATCGGTTCAAAATGTCACGTACAGTACCCGCGCGCGCGCGCACACACACACATACACATGCAATAGGATCGAATAATATTTAAAATCATAATATATAGGTTTGATTCGGAACGGTAAGATGTGACATGATCGATGGCTGTTCTTGTCTTGTTTCCTCCCCCAGCTCCCTTTTATACCGTAGTTCGTCTTGTACGCGAGTTCATTTGTCGTAAGTACATTTTGTCGCGCGTCACCGAGAACGCAATAGATATAGAGCGTTTTATTTTTTAGACAGATTTTTGCAACAGAACGAATGGTAAATTACGTTATTGTTGACCGATTGCCATCGATCGTGACACTCGGCCTACGTCGTGTTCAACAACGAGCCTCGTGGCTCAGGATACACAGCTCTGTGAAACGAAAGCGATGCAGAGCACCGCGTTGAATCAGACGGAAGTGTGCACGTTAGCCAACGAATACGCATCATGCGAGACGAAGTGAGACGAAAAATTTGCTTCCTGCCCATTCGAAGCGGGGATGATAAGTTATAATCGATTCGTCCGTCGAAGAGATATACAGATTGTTCGCTCACTTCTTCTACGCGCGTTACAGCACGTTTCGTTGCGAGTTTGCTTAATTCAGAAGTTGAAGCGACGAGTGGCACTCGAACGAATCGATTACGCAACGTTAACGAAACCACCTCGTCGATGAAATAGGATACGATGATAAGAAAAAAAGCATACACAACCTTATTACCTCATTCATTACCGTTAAAGATTTAATATGATAATGAAAAGTGAAACGAGAGAAAGGATAAAAACCAACTAATCTAAAAAAAGAAGTCTACATAATATTAAAGTTATAATAATATACAGAGAAGTTAAGTAACGATTACACAATTACGTTATACATGTTACTACTACAACTACTATTATTACTAGTACTATTACTACTGCTATTAACTATCTACTTACTTCTACTAAGTACACTATACAGGAAAGCGGTTTTTTTTTTTTTTTTTTTTTTAAAGAAAAGAAAAGAACTACTCTAGGTACAGTTTTTTTTATATCACAACACAGAGAGACATTAATTAACGAGACTTAATTATCGAAGAAAATGTGAACGAAACGTGACTCGTTCTACGGTTAGACGTAAGCCGGAAAGTTTTCATGGCAGATTCCCTCATCCCCGCCCCTCTCGCGCCTGTAATACCAAAGAAGCGATTACGAGTTTTTGCGTATTAGTGAAGTGAAAATGCGTGACATGCGTATGGCGCGTTGAACGCTCTACTCGCCTCAAGTTCCTTGCAAGAGTCAAGAAGAGCAGCGGGAGGGGCGAAAGACACAACGTAGACGGGTCGCGTCTGCTGGGAATCGACGAGTGGTTATTGGCGTCGAAAACAGCAAATGGAAGGAGATACCGACGAGAACAACATCCTTCGTCGTCGAGTCGCTTTTTTGCAAAAGTGATCGGAATGAAGAAACTGAGTCAACTACGAAGCAAAGACGCTTGCAAGAAAAGAGTATAAACGAGAGGATGAATACCGAGGAATTGTTCGACGTTGTACATGGAACGGACGTTGTTTCGTGCTACGAGAAGGATGTTCCGCAAAGAGAGAGGAAGGGAGAATGAAAAAGCGACCGTTGGTACGCACGAGAAAGCGAGAATCAATCGCTTTCGAGGAGAGGACAAATGTAAGAAGTTTCAGAGACCGAAAGAAGAGCAAAATGATAAGACGGTTGCTACTAACTATGAAACCTTTTCAGGGATTTTTACTTTATAAATGAATGTAATAATGTGTGAGTGTGCGTGTGTTGAATACTACTATTAATTGATAAGTAATTAATTACTGGTTAGGCTTATATGGCAAAGAAATACAAGGAAGATAGATTAGGATAATCGAGAGAAAAGAACCGCAGAAAGGGGAAAAGTGGGAAAAAATGCTGGAGGTGGAAGAGTGATATTTGACGAGAAAAAGGCATCGTGATTATGTATTTGATGTCGCTCTTCGCCTCGTGATGCGAGCGTGGATATCGCCAGCGAGTCGTCGAATAAACGAAGATGGTACGTCTGCGAATTTTTAGGAAATTCCGGTCCTCAACGATCTTTGTAAATTCTGTAATTATTTCCTTTTTCTCTATTTTTCTCTTGTTTTAATTATATATATATATATATATATATAGATATATATATTATATAGTCGTATCACTATTAGGATAGCAAATACTATTACGAATACGTTAAAAAATTTAATAAAAGCGTTAGAAACTCGCAGCGATATCGCGTTTCCGGCACGGCGCGTACTATCGATCACGATAATTCTTACGATTCTTTCTGCGGCAATTGCTTGTATATCATCAGCGAAAGGGATAATACAAAATTCGAGAAGAGTTCAAAGATCGAGTGTTTTTAACGTTGAAGAGACGATAGGTGGACGCGATGGAAAGATAACGTTTTCCATTAACGAAGAATATTCGTGACCGATTGCGCGTAACTCCTAAAAGTCTTAAGTTTTGATTTATGAAAGCAGAAGCAAAAAAAAAAAGGCATGAGTCTAACAAGTTGAAGGATACGATGGTTCGCACATGCATCGTACGGGCAGGAAACGTTTTCGCTCGAAACGGGAAGATCGATCGTGTAAGAGATTTTATGGGAAAAAACGGAGAGTGGAAGGGAGAGTGAAAGAGGTAGATGAAAGATGAAAAACACGGTGAAAAGAAAGCTAAACGTTTCAGGACTATTTAAAACGGTGAAGTGAATTTGCACTAATTTATCGAAAGAGACTCGAGGAACTGTTCGACGGGCTAGATCCGTTTCAGTGATTTATAAACGACAGAGGATAAAAAAAGAAAAAAAAAAAGAAAAAAGAAAAAAAAAGGAGAGAAGATAAATTAACGGACTGACAGACGCATCATCGCGTGCCACGAGAAGAGTATTCGCAAGTTCGTTGAATCTCTCCGCCATCCAAGTTTCATTTTGATTCTATTACAGGAACCCTGTCATCGTTTCGTACGTTTTAATTTCTCCTATCGATAACAGAAAGTTTCGCTACCGGCAGAGATTGTAAATCACCCAGCGTTAGCCAGATTTCCTTGAAATTTCGTGGCGCGTGATCGATGCTCAATTAGTACGTTGAACCTGGTGGCCGGCATTCGCGCATAGCGACGAAGACGGTAAACCCTTCCGGTTCACGGAATTGATCGGAAGACAGGGTCGTCGACCGTCGGTTCACCTCATGGCATTTGGTATGCGTTTAGTACAAAAATACACGAGTTTAAGGTAGGTAGGAGGGAATCCAAGTTTTACGAAAGAGAAAACGTGTACGTTGAATGGAAGGGAATTGTTATATCGCGTGTTAGGATTTTTGTTTATCGGGTGAGAAGGCAAACGGATTACAGAGAAACGAACTTCTGTTGAGTGTGCGTAGCAATACTACTACTATCGGCGGATAATGGAAAATTGAACGATGGAGAGAAGGTATGCAGAGGAAAAAATAAAGAGACGAACGCGAGCGGTGGAAGCTCGGTGCGCCAATGCTCTCCGCTCTCTTGGCTTTTTCTTTTTCGCTGCATCTCGAAGAGGAGGAGGAGTAGTGCCGGAAGGATTAGAAGCATAAGGAAAGAAAATGAGAAAGAAGACACGACGATGCAGAGAGATAGATAGAGAGAGAGAGGGAGAGGGAGAGAGAGAGAGAGTAAAGGAGGGCGGTATAACGAAAGAAGCGAACTCGAGCGAGGACAGAAGGAAAAGAGTCAACGACGCCGGATTTGAGTGGAAAAGGAAAAAGAGACAAAGCGGATAGAAAGGGAAGAACTACGTGATGAGAGAAGCGAGATAGCAACGTGAAAAAAAAGCGAAATGAATCTAAGAGTAATAAGTTTATTTTTGATACCTTGTTGGGGAGATCTAAGTGAATCTTTCTTTTTCAATTTTTTTGTTAGACGTTTTTAATAACTTAATGAATTTTAACGATATTAATAAAAATAAAAAAGCGAAGTGCGACGAAGAAAGTCTGAAATGTTTTTTAAATAGAGTTATAAGGAGATTATAAGGTGGAAGGTGGTGTAGAAGAAGCGAAGCGGAGTGTTTTTCGTAAAAGAATATGTAACTTAAAGATTTAAAAGAAAGAAAGAAAAAAAAAAGAAGAAGAAGAAGAAAGAGAGATGGGCGTAAAAGAGATGGAAGAGATAAGATAAAGCAAGGTTTAAAAGGGCACGGCGCGCAGCTTTTTGCGCTGTGCGCGTCTGTAGCTCATCAGGGGAGGGGGGGATAAAGGAAACTTTAGTCGGGTAAATTGTATAATATATTTAATATATTTGGAGAGAACGGCGGCGCAAGGTCCGCTCGGCGAGCGAACGTCGTTTCAACGGCGAGCGACAAAGGCGATCGGGCTCGCAGTTTTATGTGACGCGATTTTCGTCGTTGTCGCTTCCTGGAAATGCTTCCTCGCCCGCAGGCCTTCGCTTCCGTACTTATTTATGAAACGTAAATATTTAAAGAGACGAGAGTGATTAACGTTTTGTAAAGTAAGAATAAAAGAGGATTAAAACGAAGAAGAATTTAAAAAAAGAAGAAAAAAAAGAATAGAAAGAACGGAAAGAAAAACGAGGAAAGTGCCAAGAGACTAAAATGAATATGCACACAGCAGTAAGAGAATAACGGAACAGACATCGTTTTATAGAATAACCACGAAACCATAGAACGATAAACGATAAACGTAAATCCGCCAGATAAAAATCCATAGAACAAAGGGAAGATGCAACACGCGACAAAACGAAGATACGCAACGGTTTCGTAATCATCGGCAACAACGTCAAATTAAACGGAAAGATTCGCTTTACCGACCAAAAAAAAATCATTTACGCCAATTCGAAATCACTTGACACTCCTTTTTCCTGAAACGACGATACACATCGAGGGAACACGTTCGGAATTCATTGATTTTTTCGGCCAAAACAACGAATCCAAATTTTTCACGTATTTTTCCACGGTCGATCGCACGCGAAAAGCGTGCCAGAAAAGAAAACGACAGAAACGCAAAATGTATAGAGAAGCACGACGCTAGTAAGAGTTACTATCGCTCTTTTCACAGAATTTCGTTGTTGCGCGGCGCGAGAGAAGACACTTGGCGGCAACAACGAAATCCATCGCCCCTACCCCTTTTCGGAATATCTCTTTGTAAAAAAAAATAAAAAAAAAAAATAAAAAAAAGTAAAAAAAAAAGAAAGAGAAAAAGTACGAATACAAAAAAAAGAAAAAAAAAAGAACAGAAGAGAACAAGAACGAAAGTTCGTGATCCGCACAATCTGCCCCGCACGTGAATTTTTACACCTTTAACTCGTTCATCGATCTTTGATTCATTTTTTCGTTGCGCTAATTTTCGAAAAACGAAATTTCCACGACAAGACGAAGGAAGAAAGCTACCGTAACGACAAGAAAAACGAGAAACTTGAGGATTCAGTAGCGTAGAAAGTGAAAAAGACGACATTGTTTAACTTCGTTGCTCGTCCACAGTACTTGCACTCTGTTTCGACGATGAAAAAAGAAACGACAAGTAACGAGAATTCGAGAGAATTTATGGTAATATACCGCGCGAACACGATAAATGCAAAAATCATATACACGCAACAACTTGATGAAACATTGAAAAGGAGAAAGCACACCACAACAAGCATCGCGATAACACGGAGATGAAAGTTAATTTTCCGGACGATTCCTCAGCATAGCACTTCTCAAACGCCACGTAGGAAGAGAAAGGAAAGGGATAGAGAGATTTGGAGAGAACGTGTCAAAAGCCCGTTCGCACGCTCGGGAGAATGTACAAATCAAAGTAACAAAACTTAAACACAAAAAAAAAGAGAAAAAATGGAAAAAAAATGAATATGAAGATTGAATAGAAATTATTAATATAAATAGTAATAACTTAAAGAAAAGAGAAAAGATTTTTAACGTTATAAATTATTACGCGCGTGAATTAAGAGGCGAGAAGTAAATTAATCTACTATTGGTTAAGAATACCAAGAAAACGAATGTACAAAATCGAATTATCGGTAAATTTAAATGTTAGTATTCTAGAATATTTTACCGTGAGAAATCGCACTTATCGATTTAGAATTGGGGAAATATAAAGTAAGCTCGACGCTTAAGTTAAGATTTTCCATATATCCAGCGAGACAAGTTTAAGATACAACACCAGGAACGGAAAAGTATAAACAAATAAAAGATCGTATAATGCATCAGCTAACAAAGTAACTTTGTCGACGAAGAAAACGAGAACAATTCCTTCAATCGAAGCGTGAAACGTGCGTAACTTCAACTATCGTATGCGAGCCTCGACGAAACGAAGATAAGAAGCAGGAAATATAAAAAAAAAAAAAACGAGAAAATGAAAAAAAAAGATACGGGAAAGAGGAAGAAGAAGAAGAAACAGAAGAAAGGGAGAAAGATTCTTTCTTTTTTGTACGAACGTCCAATGTCGTCGTCGACCTATCACCGACGACTCTTCTTAAGCTTTATCAAATTTTTATCACTTTCTTCGTATAGACTATTTGTACGACGGAACAACGGTCATTTTGTGTAGTTTTTTATCGAACATTTTTTGAAGAAAAAGAAAAAAAGAAGAAAAACAGAAAAGTGCTCCTCCACGAGGAAGAAACTGCGCACGCTGGTGCAGTCGTAGAAAGCACGCCCACGCATAATAACATACAGTAGCAGACGAAATACACGAGATGAAAATTCGCATGAGAAAACCGGCACGACGATGGACAAACGCTTACCGTCGCGGTATTAGAAAGAAAGTGGACAGCGAAACAAAAAGAGAAATCCAGAAGCAGCGCGCAGAAGAGGCGAAGGACGCGTCTAACGCGTAACAGCTACGCGATTCGCGAGCAAACTTTCGATGAAACGGCAGAAGATACAAAAAAAAAAAGAAAAAAAAATAAAACGAAAAAGAGACAAAAAGAAAAAAGAGAATAGAAAGGAGAAAGAACTCCGAAAGAGACTCGATGAAATAGACGATTCGCCACGTACGACACGGTGGCCAAAATTTCAAACAAAATCTTCCATTTCCGCGCACGTTTTAGATACATCATCGTACATAGCAACGACGCACATCACCTTTCTTACAGTTGGATCTACCACATAGTCGAAGGATCGGCGTATCCGCTCGACACCGAACGAGCCGACAAAAATCGTTCGGAGAAGATAGAAAGAAGACGCGTACGTACACGCGTACTCTCGACCGATGAAACGCAAAAGGCACGCAGGTTTCCGGCGACCCATCCTACCGTTGCGATGAAAAGCTTGAAGAAATCGAGGAGAATACGAATAGAGTCCACGCTACACAATTTTGAACGGATCAGGTTGCCGAGGTGAAGTACCCATCGACTATAAAATCCCACCACTCGTGTATGAATAAGATCCGCGCTGTCGCAAAACGTTCTCGATCGCAAACGATCAACAGCGTGACGCTTGACGATCTTTAATCGGTCTTCAGACAATCACAGCTCGATCCTTCCAGTTTTGCTTTTCAATGCTTTACCGTCGTCGATGTCTACGCAACGCAACATCCATCGTATATCGCGCATTCTCTTCACTCGCTCGTAGACCCGAGACCAACAACCTTTCAAAGAGAAAAGAAAATGAAAATGAACGAATCGGCAAAAAGACAGCAAGGCTGTTGTACGATATCCGTCATTCTCCTTCGCGGGCATTGCTCGGCTGTCTTCGATGCATACCGTTATACAAACGAGACAGAACATAATATCAGGGTGGTTGTTTACGCCGATGTCACCTTACAATATACATATTATTACGCATTACGACGAAGAAGAAGAGGAAAAATAAAAAGAAAAAAGAAAAAAAAGAGAGAAACCGAAGGGATCGCGATCGGTTCGATTCGTCATCGACTTACACGATCCTAATACTAAACACGCAAGAATATAATATATTTATATATATATTATAGAATATATATATACGTGCAAACGATTCGTGCACGCGGTTCGTGTTCCGCGCAGAGATTTTTACAATAGTAACGTATGGGTTATTATACGACGCTACTTTGGGGATAGAAATACGAGAAGACAATGGTAATATCGAGAGGCGATCATTCGCCCGACCCGTCGTTGCCAACAACCGATCAACGTTACAGCACTTGGTATTTCTTTATTGATAACGATAATAATAATAGTGATAAATGAATAGTAATAGTGGTAAGGGATATAGAGTTTATCGGGGAAACGACTCGAACGGTAATTCGTTGCGAGTTACCGTTATCATCGTTTCACCGTGAAGACGAGATCGCGCGCGCGTATAAGAGAGGACAGGGGAAAATAGAAAGACGAAAACATACACCGACAAACCCTTGTGAGAAAAGGGTGTGGAAGATTATTTTGGGCTTTAGTATTAGTATTTCGAGATAGCCGGAGTCAAGTGTGGCAGTTCAGATTTTCGTAAGATCGCGAAATAGACCGCCGGTATGTTAACGCAAAGAGTTAATGGAAGCAGTGGCACAGGAAAACGAGGATTACGAGGGAAATTTCGTTTGCCGGTGGTCGTCGTTCGTGTCGGCGTTTCGTTTGGCGGGCGAAGTTCGCTCGCGGTCCATCGACTGGCATCGATCGACCAAGGTTGCCGTTCTTCTTCCTTTTTTTTTCTTTTTTTTTTTTTTTAATTTTGCCC